TCCTGAGTGCTGCGGCCGAATCCTGAAGACTACCTCTGCCTACTGATACTACCTCCTGCAGGGCGGGCCAGTCCTTTATAGTGCTGGCCCGTGCAGGAGGCTGGCCGTGCCAATGCCTCCCTGGCCTAGACCCTGCGGAAGCTTCCAGGCAAGAGCCTGGAAGTTCCCTGAAGTTTCCCTGTAGGGAAACAGGCTGGGGCCTGTAGGCCTTGTCAGAAGGAAGCTTCCAGGCAAGAGCCTGGAAGTCTCCCTGTAGGGAAACAGGCTGGGGCCTGTAGGCCCTGTCAGAAGGAAGCTTCCAGGCAAAAGCCTGGAAGTTTCCCTGTAGGGAAACAGGCTGGGGCCTGTAGGCCCTGTCAGAAGGAAGCTTCCAGGCAAGAGCTTAGAAGTTTCCCTGTAGGGAAACAGGCTGGAGGTCCGGGACGGGCCCTGCAGGGCACGTGTGGCTGCACAGTATGCCACAGAAGGGCTGCAAGAAATACAGGGAAATGTGATGAAGACGATGACAAACACACCTCATCAAATTTTTATACCTTCCTTTTCCCAGTCGATATTTCCATTTGCATCCATGCGCACATAGACACAACCACACCTCATTGATCCAATATGTATCAGTTAAGCTCACTGCACTTCTTAGTTATCCTCTAAGCCAAACACATCACCCCAGGTTACAGTGGTCATCCTGACAGCAGCACTAAAGGACCTATGTGCAACCCAAACACTTGTACGCCTGCCTTAGCATGATGTCTAATGCATAACCAAGATCTGCAAAGGTTGCCAAGAGAATACAACAAATGAATGAATGAACGGACGAACGGATTAATGGATGAATCTACAGATGAGCGGATCAGCCGAATGAACGATTGAGTAAATGAATGAACGAATGAATGAGTGAAAGAAACGGGCTGGAAACCCAGATATGCACAGGCTGCCAAGAAAGTAAAATGAATGAATCAATGAACGGACGAGCGAACGGACGGAAGAATGAACAGACAAACGAACGAATGAACGAACAAACGAACGAACGAACGAAAGGATGAATGAACAGCGAACAAACAGACAAACAAACGAACATAAGGATGAAGGAACAGACGGACAAACAGACAAACGAACGGACAAATGAACGGACAAATGAACGGACGAACGAATGGAGGAACAAACAACGAATGAACGGAGGAACGGCTGGATGGACGGATGGACGGACGGATGGACGGAAGAAAGAACGACCGGAAGAACATGCAATCAAACGAACGGATGAACGGGTGGACAAACAAACGAATGAAGGAATGAACGAAAGAGTCAATGAAGGAATTGATGAATGCAGGTATGACTGAATGAATGAGTGCATGAGCCAGAGCGTGAGTGACTGAGTGAGTGAGTGAGGGAGGGATGGAGGGAAGGAGGCAGGGAGGGAGGGAGGGAGGGAGGGAGGGAGTGGGTGGGTGGGTGGGTGGGTGCGTGCGTGATTGTTGAGTGAGTGAGTGAGTGAGTGGGTGGGTGCGTGTGTGCGTGGGTGTTGAGTGAGTGAGCGAGTGAGCGAGCGAGCGAGCGAGTGAGTGAGCGAGTGAGTGAGTGAGTGAGTGAGTGAGTGAGTGAGGGAGGGACGGAGGGAGGGAGGGAGGGAGTGAGTGGGTGGGTGCGTGGGTGTTGAGTGAGCGAGTGATTGAGTGAGTGATTGAGTGAGTGAGCGAGTGAGTGAGTGAGCGATTGAGTGAGTGAGCGAGTGAGTGAGTGAGTGAGTGAGTGAGTGAGTGCGTGACCGAGTGACTTACTGAACGAGCGGATGAATCAGTGAGTGAGTGGACGAGTGAGTAAATGAATGAATAAATAAACAAATGAATGAATGAAACGGCCTGGCCATGTCCAGTGTTCCACAAGCCGGGCAAAGCTTCCACAACTGTAATTGATGATGTTATCAACATTTTAGACAGGACATGACTGCACACACCTGTCGAACGTCAGCAGCAAACGCCTCCGCAGATGACGCATACACACCTGCGGCCAGCCGCATGTCAATCGTCCGCAAGTCCAGTGGACGAGCAACAGTCTGCATTGGAATTGGCTCAACGTCCACACGAACTTCACCATCTTGACTGCCATGTTCCTTCCGCTCATCGCCCTTGGCCTTTCCGCCAATTTCAATGCCGCCCTTCTCTCTGGAACCATCTCCTGCTTGGATCCAACAGGCTGCAGCAGCACCTGACATGGAGACGCTACAGAAAGCGAGCAGCTTGTCTTCCATAGCCACCTAATCAAGACGATTGAGGGGGAAGTGGGCCCCAGTAGGGTGGGGATGGTGGAAAGGCACGACAAATGGCAATCGAACATAACAACACACGTTTCTAAAATGTTACATTTTAGAAAAAGAAAAGAACTTAGCAAAGAAAACTATTACCTACCCTTGGCATTTATTGAATTACATTCACTCATTTAAAATTGAATCTATTCGACCACCACTACCTCGCGCAGCCATTTTTTCCTGATGACACGGCCATTAACGCACCTGGAACAAATTTTGTGGGTCGGTCTACTGGGGCAAAATGGCTGGCAGGAGGTCTGTGCCAGTTCAGTTTTTTTTGGCGCGCAGAGCGTTTCCAGGGTCGGCAAGAGAAGCGTCAAAGGTACTGGTTGATTAACCGTGAAGTTGCGTAAAATGAAATTACTACAGATCCGAACATCCGGCCGGAAGATTTGGCCGTACTTCTTGAGACATATTGGATAGCTGAAAGAGAAAATGAAAAAAAAACAACTAAAAATAAAATAAAAATGCAGGGTAACAGAAAAAGAAAAACGAAAAAGTTAGTGAAAAAAAGCACGGTCATGTTGTGGATGTCACTTACAGCACAAATATGTCATTGGGCCTCGGCCAACTACTCAACATTCGAAATGTACCTGGAGTGCAGTACGGACCAGAAACGTACAGGACAGTCCGACATTCTGAACATAACTGGACAAGAGTAGGTCCAGTTGCACTTCGAGTGCTGTGCAGTGGTGCAAGACTCTTTGACTCAAAAGTACGCAGGTCTGGACATAAATGGGTTCTTGGGGGGGCAGGGAAGGGGTTACGACGGGGTTAGAGGGGGATTCTCAAAATCGCCACTACCTTTCACAGGCAAACTCGAAACGAAAATATAGCCTATAGGCCCTATACCACATTCTTTGGAGGCCAGGCGCCGCCAGACCCAAATCGCTGGCGACACAAGCCAAAACAAAAACCCAAAAAACAAGTTGCGCTGGCGCTTCGGCAAAGCTTTGCGAGCAGTTCTTTTCCGCCTCAGCTCGGCGCTTGGGAATCTTTTGGGTCCGGGCCCAGGAGGCCTGAAGCGCCAATGGCCACCCAGTAATAATAAAGTGAAAGCGGACCGTATGCGACCTAGCAGCTGGTGCTCCGATGGGCCCAGGCCCAGAAGTCTGGACCACTACCGTTGGCCCAGGCTCAGGCCTAGCGAATCTAGCCGCTGGTGCTCCGATGGGCCCAAGCCTAGGGAATCTAGCCGCGGGTGCTCCGATGGGCCAGGCCTAGGGAACCTAGCCGCTGTTGCTCCGATGGGCCCAGGCCTAAGGAATCTAGCCGCTGGTGCTCCGATGGGGACCTTTTGGGCCCAGGCCCAGAAGGCTAGACCACTACCGTTGGGCTGCTAGCCAGGAGGGGTCTGCAGCAGTGAACCAGGCCAATTCGGTCGGATGATAGAGGCGGCATGCTCAACGTGCGCGGCGTACGACATACACGTCAGTCCGATGTGTGTTTGAACAATCACCACAGCAACCCCATTGCCTCTCCGATGCCTACCATCGTCCCCCCCCGATAGAACATACTGTCATTTTCACTGTATCTAGACTGATTTGTTGCCCAAAATACAGCTATAATGACAATATGTTCTATTCGAGGGAAGACCGTAGATATCTTATCCCCCCCCGCCCCCTACTATCTAATATTTAAAAATGATTATGATATTTTCGTGCAACGGCTGTATTTTAAGCAGTGCAAGTCTAATGAACCAAGCTTCCAAAGCTCACAGTCAAACCACACATAAACTTGTAAGGCTCAATCAAATGACAACAACAAAATGTCGACAGCTATAAACTCCATATAGAGAGCAGAGATGAGCAACAAGGCTGTGCAAAGAAGAAGAGCAAGAGCATGAAATGTCTTTGCAAATTAGAAATCAAAACATTGAAAACAACAGTACAATGTTCAAGTTGCTTCTATCCACTAGCTTCTTACTCCGTACGGCACCTGTCACGCCTCCTCTATCTACTAGCTTGCTTCTCCCTCACTGCTCCCCCACTCTCTCTCTCTCTCTCTCTCTCTCTACCAGACACCAAACCCGACACAACGGACGGTGATCAAAGGAGAAATGAGCACCAACCCCTCTATCCCCTTCTCGTACCCCCTAGGGAACACATAACCCTTGAGGACATCGGCGGTGACCAGTGGAGCAAAACCCACTCGCCCCTCTTTCCCCTTCCCCTTCCCAGAGGAGCAATAACCACCCCCCAAGTCTCCCCTTCGCCTACGCCCCAGGGAGCCCATAACCATTGGGCACATGGGCAATAACCACTGGAGCAATACCCGCTCTCCCATCTTTCTCTTCCCCTCCCCAGAGGAGAAATAACACCTCCCCCAGGGAACCCATAACCCTTGGGCACATGGATGGTGACAAGCCGTGCAATACCCACTCCCCCCTCTTTCCCCTTCCCCTCCCCCAAAGACAATAGCCTTACGCAAGGAAAATGAGCAATAGCGAAATGACAGAATTCCAAATTGCAACATCACATTGAAAGCCAGATAGTCGTGAGCTGTCCAGAAAGCAGAAATGCACTGAGATCACACTGAAGGAGAACCAAAGCAGCGAACTCAATTTTCAATGCAAACCCTCTCTCGCCACCATCAACGATGTATCCAAAGTTCTTCCTCGCGATTGGCGCTCAGCGCCCAGACTACGAACGTACAGCTCCTAATCTAGCCTACTCTAATGACGAAACAACCAGTTGACATCAGCGGCAGCAACCAGAGTACACGCAGATGTCGCTCATGCAGACTTCCACGACGACCAGGTATGTGCTCTCCCATCCTCCCCATCACCCGCCCTCTTGCTGCCCACCCTCGTCTTCTCCTTCCACTCACTATCCCTGACCAAGGACCAAGGACCTCCCTTGCTCTCAAGCCCGGCTATGGCTGGCTTGTATCAAAGTCATTGGTTTATCATAGAGACGATTTCCGGCAAAAAGAAATTCCCATGGTGTCACAGCCGGTGTACAAGGCCTGATTACCTATTCACCGCGGCATGCTGATTCACGATTACTAGCGGTTCCAACTTCATGTTCTGAGGCAATGTTTCAGGCTTCGGTCCGCCTTAAAGCCTTGCTTCCTATTGTAATTGCCATTAAAGATTGCAACTTCCTATTGGTTCGAGGTCACGACTTCCTATTGGTTCGCGATTACTAGCGGTTCCAACTTCCTATTGGTTCGAGGTCACGACTATCTGGTCTCATGTGTATGATGCTGTTTGATTTCTGAAGTTCACTATCGCTCATTTTCCTTGCACTATGATATAAGAGTAAAAAATTAAAATTTCAAAACTAGACTTCCTACTACTATAGTCAAAACATTTGACTGTTGAATATAAAATGCTATAGCAATTGTAAAACAGGAAAACTCAACAGACAGGCTTTCTGGAAAAAGTAGAAACCACATGACCGATAATACCAAATCCAGGAAGAATTAAAATATAACATTATTTTGGCTCACTGGCGGAAGGGAAGAGCCTGGTAGAGCACCCCGCCGCTCTCGTGACGGATAGGAATTTCTCTTATCCCCTCTAAGAAAGCAATTATATAATATATACAATTACAATCAATTCAATAAATACAGTCACGGAATCATCAAAACGAAATTCTGAATTCTCTACAGAGGCTGGATTAAAATATTTCATTTTAGGTGCGTTTTCCTCTGTGTAATGGCCCGTCAATACACGGACTGAAACATACAGTCGATTTCTGATTTCTGCTCATAGGATGCATGCCGTACTAAGTTCCCTGCCTGTCGATGTGTTTGCTGGGTCTGAGTGCGTGCTTGTTTGTGGGTTGCATGACTGTGTGTGGCCTGCATGTTGTCGGAGTGCCTTGAGTGTGTGTGTGACCTGTATGGGTCTGTGATGGCTGGGCAGGCCCGTGGGAGGGCCGGTACT